AGCAAAGGGTCTGAATACTTATGACCATGTGATATTTCAGTTTTTCTTTTTTAATAAATCTGCAAAAATGTCAAAAATTCAGTGTTTTTCTGTCAATATGGGGTGCTGTGTGTACATTAATGAGGAAAAAAATGAACTTAAATGATTTTAGCATATGGCTGCAATATAACAAAGGGTGAAAAATTTAAGGGGGTCTGAATACTTTCCGTACCCACTGTATTTGGTGGTGGTGGCTCAAGAAAAAAATGGAGTTCAGGATGCATCCTCAAGATGTTTCCTGTATGATTTCACTGTATGTGCAGAGTGCTAAATCAGACTGGTGACTGTCTACCAATTTTTGGAAAGCTTGGTGTGATAACTGAAGATTAAAGCAATAAAGGGAGATAGCCACACTGTCTGACCTGTGCTACAACTACGTCATTTAAATAATACCCTTTATCACGACAAATCTGCACTTTGATATGCACTTAAATGTGCATAATATCAGTATATGAAAATGTTTCAGAAATTTTGGCTGTCGATGGTTGGGTTTGTGAACTGTTTCAGCAGGCAGCAAAACAACACACAGTTTTAGACCAAAACAAGCAGCAAATTGCACACTTCACCATAATTGGTGTAAATGAATTTGTTTCAAGCTACAAAACTACTTAAACTGTACTGAAACTGAACTGTGACATTGTTGGCTTTGTGCCAGCACAAAATCAGTGGCTTTAACATGGTACATTTGCTAATACTAACCACTGCTATAATGGAGTCTTTACTCATCCTAAAGTTCATGAATGTTTCATAGTAAGATATGCCAAATTAAAATCTTGGCAGCGAGGGCTGAGTGGGTTGCCTGATTAAGATAATACATATACCCACACTGAAGAGCCTCTTTTAAAGTCTGTTCAAAATGTTTGAACCAGTGGGACTGGCCCATTCAGGATTCTGTGTGTGGTTCTCTTTCACATTCTCACTGATGTGCTGGCTGGTTTTCCTGGGGACCATTGCCAAAGTACAGGCTGCCATGCTCAGATGCTCATCAAAGGCTACACACCCATTTCCCTCAAAACTCAAGGCAAAGGTCTTGGTCTTGAGAAAAACTCAGATTAATGATTTCTAAGATAGTGCCATAAGTCCCACTCCAAATATGCAGGATAAATTTAACCATGATGAGATTCTGCAGTGGATTTCTTACAGCTTTTTGTTCATCCCCTGTAAATCTTAAAGATCAGTGCTGTACAACCAACACTTGAAAGATGACTGCTTTATAACTGGCTTTGAATACATTCTGATCATGTTTGCTCTCCCACACACTGGATCTTCAACATGAAAACATGCAACAAAGAGACACAGAGGAAAAGAACAATTTACTCACTGACTCCTGGCTCTTGTCCTTTGCATCATACACAGTTAGCTTGACTAGCGTCTCCGGGCTAGCAGGATACTCTGAAGGGAAGGTCACCCCCGTCAGAAACAGCGGGTCTTTGTTGGCCTGTCATAAAGAGCAACATCACAGAAAAAGGGTGAGATACTGTATGTGTATGCACAGGTGACAGTGTGCACCCTCATGCACATTCATGAAAAAGCAGGAAGCCATAGGGGATAAAGGAGGAGAGGGTGGGAAGCATGGGTGGGTAAATAAGACAACAGTTGGGCTCAATCTGCCCTCTTCTTCCTCCCGGTATTCCTCTCCACTTTCCTCACCAGCCATGCTGACTCTCCTGGGTACAAAAATGAGAAGCTTGAGCTCTTGCTGCTGGGTCTACCTGGAACTCTAGCATAACTACAGTCTCTCAACTGAGACTGCAGGCTAAGAGGGACAAATGTTGACAGGTAAACTGGCACAGTATCAGTGTGGCAATGGGATTAAACTAGACACAGCAGCCAGTAGTGGGACGTTCAAACTTACCAGAGGCCTGAATGCCATTAGCTGACATCCACTCACAACCTCTTTTGAAATCACACCACCCCATCATCACCCTTAACTTCCATGCCTTTGAACTGCAGAGCTTGTTTTGCTATGACCCTGGTTTGCTTACACTGTAAAAATGTCAACCTTAATAATGCTGTCACTGCTATTTACTTTAGATTTAAAATCCTCTGAGGCCACTGGAGTGCCAGCAAAGTGAGGGCCTTAATGTCATTTGTTTTTTATAAGAGACAGGAATCATCAAATAAGGCAGGTTTCTCTGTCAGTATCTGCAGTAGATAATGTCACTTAATTCAAGACCAATTTGAAAAAGGTGGCATTTTCTCACAGTATCATGGTACATATTTCTTGTTTCTACAGGGACTTAAAATAAACAAGATTATCATTGCAATCTAATCAAAATGAACAATCAAGCAGAATTATTTGCTCATTTCACTGACATCAAGTGCATCATTTACAAATCTGACAAGATCTGTAAAGAGTTTGTGTGTAATCAAACATATACATTATGTTGTGACATCCTGGAGATGCAGGTAGCTCAGGTGCATACTTACAATCATGAATGGCCTGGAGTCAGTTATAGCCTAGGAACCTTAAACTTGTATGGGTAAAATGCTCCCTGAAATACGTTTTTACCAAAGACAGATACAGTGTTTACTGTAAGCAGGTGACCATAATTTTATTATTTCACTTCTATAAAGTTAAGGAACTTGCAAGAAATGGATTAATACAATGTACATTGTCAAAATCAAAGTAGCAAACATTAGAGTTCATTTTATATTGGGTCCAACATTTTGGACCTGTGAGTGAGGATGGTGATGTCACTAGGATTATTCTGTTAGACTTCAGAAAGCTTCCTCCAGAGCTGCAAAAGCCATTATTCAGCTGTCTTTCCAGACAGACAGAGTTGTGCTAACCTTAGTAAGTAAGTTGACCTTTATGTGTAAAACTGGTGCATGAAATCTAAATTCTAACAATCAAATTTACTGCACCAGGAGCTGAGTGGCTTTCCTGGGAAGACTCCAGGACTGTTTAGCCATTTGTAATTGTCTATTTGAACTATTTCAAAGCATGTTGTGCTTACACTTGGGACTTCCTCTTCCTCTGCTCTGATGGCCGTTTCTAGAGCACAATCCTTTGGGATCAAATGATAATGAGACTGACACAGACAGACTGGCAGACTTGTATGAATGTATGGTCACACCCCTGAGTTAAAAAAAGAAACAAACTAAGGCTGGAGAATGTGACTGAAATAATGATAAATATCATGATAAATATTCTTCCAATGGGCAAGATCACATGTAAACTATTCATACAGGTATACAAAGCAATGTACTGTGTTTCAACTAACTTATTAACAAAACTCTCAGTAACTCATATTGTCAGCTAACTATTGGCTACACTAATGTTTTTTTGGTTTTCCAGACAATTTTGATATGATGAAATAATCAAAATATTATTTATCTGAAAGTTGATAAACAGTAATAAGGACTTATTGCACAAACCTGAAACAATTATACACACAACACATGTGGGTGCAAGGCTAATGGAAATCAGTACCAAGGAAAACTCTCCAAACCATTAATGTATTTAAATGGTCAATGTTTTGACTTGGATCTTGTTGGGATCAAATTGCTTAGGAATAAATACTGCACCCTTTATTTCTTTGTTATTCTATTTAAGAGTGTGGTTTAGTGAGTGTGCAGGCATTTTTCTTTTCATTAGTTACAAACTTTTACAATAACATATCTGCGCAATGGCTGATTATTGCCTTTATTAGTTTGCTATTCATACACAAAACTAATTCTAAATGAATGCATTCTCAGCCCCCCATCCAGCTCGCAATAGACTGACTAGCAGAACCCTAGACTACGGTAAGGGATGTTGGAGCACTGAGAGCCAAAGCATGAAGCGGCTCTAAAAATCACACACAAACCAATGTGTTCAACTGCACACATGGATGGAGAGAAACAAAGAGACCCACCTCCTCACTGCACCACTAACCCCACTGATCCTTCAGAAATCTTCCATGAGCTGACAGATGGAAAATAAAACCAGGCTACTCCTTCCAGTTTCAGCCTCTATAGACGTGGTAATACTCGTCTTGATGCCCGGTGCCATTTTGACATCTAGGTACCACATTTTGTGATTTGTTACACCAACATCTTAAACACAGCCAGATTCAGGACAGCGGGTACAGATGCAGTGGGAACAATGCACTTCTTTGAACTCAGCACAAATTACATATAAGTACAGTACACTGACAAAAAGACAGACAGAGACACTATACACAAGAATGTGCAGGTACACACACAGGCGCACACAAGCCCCTTATACCTCCTCATTGGCACACTGAATAGGCCATATTCAGACTTACCAGCATGCTTGAAAACCTCAGCTGTGGCTGAATCTTCTTAGTGCTACTGATGGGCTGAGATCCATTTACATAGAGAAGTAAGCCAGTCTGTCATACAAGTGGTCAACATATGCTATGGGAGACAGCTGCCTGACTCTTGTCTTTTTGTCAGTCTGGGTTGCAAACCTCCATGGAATAACCAATTTAGGCCATTATAGGGTGTGAGTGTGTGTTTGTGTGTGACTGGGGTGGGGAGTAGGAGTATTCAAACTCAAGTTTCCGTACACTGAAGGTTTATACCACCCCCCTTGACCGTTCACTGCACACATGCACACTAGACTTTTTGGACTTCTTCCATGGATTCTTGGCTTGTCTAGCATAATATCAAAGGCTGTTTTCTCCAGTGTATTTGTGTGACGTGAAATGCCCTCAAGTACCACCACTCCTGGACCCATTCCCCATGTTTTAGGAATGGGATTTTCCTACACTGCCATATGAGGGTTTGGCAAAAAATGCAGCGTTTCCATCTCAATTTCTCATCTCTTGTGTCATGCTATAAAGCAAAAACATGGAAAACAAAGCACTTACATTTTTCACACACACACACACACACACACACACAAAACAGAAGCCATCTCTTTTCACTAAACAGTCAATAAAAGATATCAGATAGTTTTTTGTTTGTTTTGTTTTGTTTTGTCAGCAGCTTAAAATACAATTTGACAAAGGTGCCTCCCATTGCGAGACATTTAGAGGGCTTTACATTTTCTACTTAAATTGTCACTGGTCCTTCCTGTTTTACCAGCAGTAGATTGAGATACAGTACCCAGACACCCAGACAGAATTACACTCACTCCATGGAGATAAAAAGGGATCTGCCTTTTGTGGAAACATGACACTGTGCCCCAGTTCCATACCATACAGTATATTAGTGCTACTAAGTATAAACTACGTACTAATGTTAATGGTGCGCTGCACAGAAAATATGAACAGAAAGTACTTACTAAAAGCTTTTACCTAGTTTATACAAATAGTAAATAAAACAATTCTTGCACCGATCAGTGTTCAAAACCAGCTGTCAAAAAGGTAGTGCTTTTTTTTTCATACATTAACTGTAAACATTCATTTGTGAACAGAATAATCATTTGAATTAAAAAAGGCCTTAAGATTCTTCTAATAAACTTAAAGCTAAATATTTTTGTTGTAGAAATATGCTCTAAATCTTGTCTTAATGTGGAGAGTTGCTGTCAAAGCCTCCTGTGACCCAGACTTATTGAACAGCACTGGCAGTGGTGCAGAGGTATCAGCTTCTAAAAGATTTAGAGTGGGAATGACCTCGCTAACCAATCAGGGATTTTCAATTATTTCTGCTTGGTCAGCAGGTTTTGTTGCATTCTCATTTCTTGTAATTTCATAATGACATACAGTATCTAAAGAGTTGGGCAGCAGATGGCAGAGCGTAGTAGAGCATAGTGGAGCAGGAAGAGGGAGCACTATGAGGAGCAGAATGGATTGATCTGGACTTTCATGCCAGTGCTACGTATCTTAAGTTACATACTGAGGCTTTAAATGCCATTAAAAATAAATAAATTTTTTTTTTTAAAAAGTCCTAAATTATTGTTGTGGGTTGCCACCTAAATAAATGAGGGAAAAGTTATCCAAACTGTCATGAGACACTCGAGAGGTCATTGGTTTGAACTAAAGAGTAGTAAAACTCAGATCCAACATGATGAAATGACATCCAATTCTTTTTATCTGACTCCTGTCTAGTGATTCAAGGGTAAAGATGACTATGTACTAGCTGGCAGGTTCTGTCATGTATCTTTTACATTCAAAACTTATATCATAGACTATGGGCCCCTGATAATATGTCTTTTACTGGAGTAGGCCTAATACTTGTGCTTTCACATGTCCAGCAAGCCCAGCAGCAGCTGTCGAGAGCTGGCATCCCGGTAATGCCAGGAGAAACACAAGTGGCAGTTGTGCTGTCTTCTGATTCATACTACACACACAGTGGGGCTCTCAGCGCAAACAAATACAAACACACACACACACACACACAGGTCTTTCTGCTGTCACACAGGTTAATGAACATCTACTGCTGTGCTTGTTGGATAGCAATGTATGAGCGGGAAACCCCACTGGTTTAAACTATCCTAACAAATAAGAGGATGTCAAAGTCACACTGAGTTATTTTCAATGAGTTTATTCTGAGTTGATATAACATGACTTTTATTGATCTAAGTGATCTGATTTCTGTGTGAACTGCTAAATATATTGGTTCATGTAATATCAGGGATGCTGACTTTTATAGCACTATCCAGGCTAAAAAAAATAAATACATGGCACAGAAAACTCCTCAGACTCTCCTAAACACCTCCTGAAACATGCAGACAGACTTGTAAAATCACATAGATTGTGCACATACCCTGCTTTTGTGAAGTCGAAAACAGTCCATATCCTCAGATCCTACTCCATATTCTGAACATAACAGCCATGAAATCAAAACTCCAGTGGCACTCAGAGTGTCTACAGAGCTCGCTGAGCCAGCATACAGTATCCTACCACATCCTGTGTTTACACACACACACACACACACTGCTGTTCCCTTCATAGGAGTGAGGGGAAAAGCAGCTGAAATGCAGCCTCTCAAAGACACGGTTCTGCTAACATAGCTTTACTGGATTAGCAGGAAAATAAAAGTGTCTCCTTTTTATGTGACTGGAAACTCTGCCCTCATGTGAGGAAAAAAAAATGTGTGTGCATGTACATGTGTGCAAGTGGGTGTTCCTCAGTGAGATGGGGTGCAGCTGTTGCCACCTAAAAAACACTTGTGTGACTGTTTCCTTAGCAACAGCACTGTCATGTCATAGGTAATAAAAAGGCATTTAAAGGGTCAAGAAGACAAAAACATTCACTTTCAGGAACAAAGACACAATTAAACCCACAGACACACACACTTTATATATATTGAGAGATGATACTGATTTAGAGCCACACAAACTCTCATAAATGTCTTGACTTAACTGTCATGGGAAATAGAAGGTTGCTGCTCATAGTTTGTTTAGTGAGTCAGATGGAAAAAAACGATTTAGAAAAAGGAGGGCAGAAGGAGGTGGAGAGAACACCGACTAAGACCCAGTGACCCAGACACACAGCAAAACAACAAACATCAAAAGTCAGAAAAAGGCAAAGACAGGCTGGTGCATGTGTATGTTTGTGAGTGTGTGTTGCCTTACCTCCACGATCTCTGTGCAGGTGTGAGAGATGAGGTGCTGCTTGTGGGGATCTATGACAGCCACCTGGACCAAAGCGCTGGGCTTCCTGTCTCTGCCTAATGCCACCAGATCATTACAGGCTACAGAGAGGAAGAGAGAGCGCCGATGGAAGGACAACAGGACAGAGTGAGAAAAGGAGATGAGAGGAGAGCAGGGAAGAGAACACAAAAATTAAGATGACAGAGAGCGAACCCTTTATGACAGACACACAGTGGAGAAGGTGACACATGACAGAGAAACATGGTAAACAGAAAGAAGAAACAGAAGGAAACAGCTACGGAAGAGGATTTATTAATATCTCCTGTCAGCTTTTAAGTCACATGCTAGAGCACTAAAGATAAGCATTACCACAAAGGAACAGAAGAGTTAAATCTCCTCACTCTCTGAGGCCTCAATCTCAAAGTGCAATAAAAGTTGGAGGAAATGAATAAAATATATATACATTGAGACATAAAATTGTTGCCTCAGCACTTGATTAAAATGGCAACCAGGCACATAGAATTCCCACTGGCAGTGTCACTTTTATTAGGGCTTTCATTTCCAATAACACAAGTGGCCTGTCATTCAGCCTCTCTGGCTTACAAGGACAGGAAGAGTACAGTAGGCATCCCACAGAACCTTTATGGGAAACCTGATGCTTCCTGGTTACGCATAGAAACTACCCATAACAATGTAAAACATACCGATCCCATCACAACTAAACTGATGCATCTATTTAAGACATCCTTGTTATGTCTTTGCATAGGTTTATATAGCATAGTAAAGTCCAAGATTTGACCACAGAAGCAGATTTTTCCTGACCTTTCAAAATATGTTATTGTATGTGCAACCAAAATGCATATTTCTGTGGTTACAGTTTTAAAACATACTGAATAAAAGTTTAAGTTCTGTTCACACAGTCAGTGTGATACCCAGAAATGACATGATATGGCTCTAATTTTACAAATTATGGATCAGTTGTATGGACTTGAATACAATAATGACAAATCTGTGTTCAGCAGCCTCCTTGGATCCTATCCAAGAGTTGCATTTTATCTAGCCAGCACAATTCTGGCATGTAAACAGCAATCGATCTGCTTGCAATGGCTTGCCAGTTTCACACATTACTCTGCAAAAAGTCTGGATAACATCACTCAGTGGGTAAAATTCCATTAACAACGTTGTCCCATCTTCACGGGCTTGATTTTTAGTGTCTAAGTGAACGGCAAGTGGAGATGAAAGGGATTCTTGTAGGAGGCTGTTTAAAGGGAGTGAAGAGCAGGAATAAAGTTGGTGAAAGCAATTAAGAGTTCAGGAGCAGGGTGCCAACTGCTTTGACATACTGTATGTACTGCAGACCTTCCTTATCTCAGGTTTTGATGTGGTTTATTTCTCTCTGTGTTAGGTAAAATGTTTCTTTTCTACTGTGCAACTGCAGAAAGCAAAATAAATTGTACCTTTATTGCAAGATACAGTAGATACATAAAGGACATAGTATAAAGCTGACTCTGTTTACACACACCCCCACACACACTAAACCAGAGCAATATTCACTTATTGTAAAACTAAAAGGGAACAACACTGGGATGCTGATTGTACTGTCAATGTGATTGTCCTTGACTTTTTTTAACAGCAGCAACACAAACAAAGCGGGGCTTTAATGAGCATTTGTCATACACTTGTCTGCAAGAAAGTGGAGGAATGAAAAGACATCTTTCAGCATACAAAATTCAAAGCTTTTTTTGTAGTCTGACTTTACTATTCCTTTCCATCTATTTTATGTGAAACTGAACACGCTTCATCTGCAACAGAGAAATCTGTGGTTGAAAGTTGACTGAACATGTAAAACATTCCAGAGGGTTCAATTAAAGGAATTCACAAAATACATTGATAGCTTTGTTACATTTTGATATGCTTCACAGACATCACCCACTAAAATGACAAACTTAGACAATATTAAAAACTATTGACAACTAGTCACTTTTTATTTACACGGTGTTGTCATCTCCTCTGTCAGAGCCACAATGATCACCTGACTTGCCTTAGGGCTCAGAAAAAATTAAGAATTTCCTTCTGTGAATTTCAAAAATGGGAGCAGATGTACACATGCTGCTTAGGGATGAAGGTGTCATGTACAACTGCTATAAGAACTGGCAATCTAATGCACAGGCCTCCTGGGCTGAAGCCCTGGGGCCAGGACTTACACATTAATCATGTGTACTGATTGACTGGTCAGTTTGTTGCCAATGGTGATAGTTCTGGACACTGACTGGCTAGTTTGGTGTCATGATGCTGCTACATTAAGAGCTGTGCTGGTGACCTCCTGAGTGAAAAAATGTAAACAACTAAAGTTATGGTGAATTCAATTTCAATTTTATTGTTTTTTATTGTTTAGCAAATTTATACTAGAAGGTATGAAAGGTATCTGTGCACAGGCGGTCCACAGCGCCAGTATCCTGTATACGTGTCCTTATGCTAACGACTCATAGTCATTGGTGTAATATACAGTATATGTAATATATCTTATGGATAAGACTCGGATATCTTCTAGATATGCTCTTTCAGTATAACTTTTGAACTGACTGACTTAATTTCTTTGTTCTGAATGTGGCCCTACATGACCAATATACAGTATTATATAATAAGCTAAGCATACACTCCATACTGCAGTACTGATTTATCATTTACCAAAATGTAATGAGGTAAAAATGGAACAGGTTATTACAACTCTTAACATGCCCTTCTGTCTGACACATGCATCTGTCTTGCCTGAGAAATCTGTTGTACATAATCCTTTCTCTTCTCTAACCATTTGCAGTCTTGCTCCAGTAGACCACAAAAAAAAAATGTAGATCTTATTTTATCTGTGAAATGTACATGTATCTCTGTCCAATATAGCATCAGTGAGTGGATGGACACAAATATCCCTCACAGCAAACAACATATAGGCACACAGATACAGATTAAAAGCATTGGCTCCTGAATTAGATTAGATAAGATGAGAGTTTAACTTTGAACCTGAAAAAAAACATCAAATAACTAAAACTAACAAGTCAAGAGACCTTCAGCGAAAACTAGACAGCCTGAAAAGACTGCATGCTAAATACTAATTTAATTTATTGCATCGATTACATTAAATCAATGTGACATAAATTCTGAAATAGACCTTTAATTGCAAACTTAACTGAATCATATATGTTAATTCTTCAAATTCTCCAGGGTATGTCTCATCATGAAATTCACTTAAGGGTATTCAAAGTACAACATCTCATTTTGTGATATTAAATTGGAAAGTGCTGCATTGAAGGCGTTAATGAGTGTCTAGATTCTTGAGGTGACAAGCTTACTGTTCGTTTGTGAATTTGCAAAAGAGTCTGGTAGTAGGAGCCCTGCCACAAAATGGGAGCAGAAAGTGAACCATGAAAGGAATAACCCGATCTAAATGGAGCCAAATGGTGCATGTAGCCATTACAAAGCAAGCCTAGAAATGTGAATTACAGGTGCTGCTTTCCTACATGATAAGACCCAAATGGTGTTGAAACCACACTACAGTGCTGATAATGTAAGTTTGCATGTTTTATGGATGAATGTACTGTTCACACAGTTCTTATGGCACATTTCATCAGATGTTTCAGAAACAAGACTGAAAACCATTGGACAAGTTTTAATTGTAGTCATCTAATTTATATGAATTTACCTTAGATGTCCAAAATATGATGCAGCATGACTGTAGAAGTAGAAAAAGAAAAGAAGAACTGCTTTTCCACTAAACCAAAGGAGGTAATGAAAGAGAATAAATGAAACACGGATAAGGTCGATCTAGGGTTCTAAGCCCCTTTCAGACATGGTACTTAGGAATCTGCAGGCTACATGTAGCCGTGTAGGAGCTGCTTTTTTGGCTTTCAGAGATAGTTGCTTTGTGTGAAATTCCCAGCAAGACCTTGTTCAAACATAGCAGGACCTAGCCAGGTACAGCAACAACATTTATGTGATATGCAACATCATGCCAAGCAGACACACCATCATTTCTCTGCGGAGAGGGTGAGCTTTGATTTCCATGTCAGCCCAATTTCCAGCCATTCAGTGGTAGCTCACACTGCTAAACTGTATCATCTCTGTGGCCGTTTAAAAAAAAAGCATTTGGACTAGCTAGTGATATTACTTTTTCATTTTTATCCCCAAATTTCACTGCCTGCCCAAAATATATGCCACTAAGAGAGAGAGGGAGAAAGAAAGCAGCAGTGGTCAAGCTAGCTAGCGAGTGAATGAAGAGAGGGAGCTGCGTTAGCGAGACCAAAGCAATGAAACAGATTAAATGTTGTCATCTTGAGTGTGCCCTTACTGACAATTAGACCACTTCAGTTTAGGCATGTAGCTGGTTAGAATGTAGCTGACTATCTGAAAATATAATGAAAAATTCTGCCCAATTATAAAACAGGTCAAGGCCAACCAATTTGGAGTTAAAATGAGGATTTATCCATACATTGTCTGTCTACACTTATTGACTGACTTGGAAAAAATTAAGAATTTTTGTTCTTGGTAACAGTAGTATCCAGAGCTTCTGGTTCTCTTAGCACTTGTTGTTGAAAAAAGGCTACAAGACAGGGTTGAAGAATATCTGGCAGTGCAGCACAGCAGTGCTCATGCATGTATCTGTGTGTGTGTATACACACAGAGTAAGTGCTAAAAGCCAAAAAAGGTTGCCACAGAGCTTCATCTGTTTCATCATGTCATCATTTCCCTTTCTCTAAATGAAACTTGCCCTCTTGTCTTGACATGATTCTAACATTACTTTAACTTCTGGATCTGAAGCACTCACATACAAAGAAGACCAAAAATGGGACAAATAAGTTTCTGATTGTCCTCATGCATCACTTCAGAGGACATATATTTGACTGGCCAGACGGACCTTCCCCACCCTGCTGCACAGTTAAACACAGTCAGTCTGGTGATTGAAATGGGACAGGGTACCCAACCATGCATCACCAGGTTGGCACTCTCACAGAATTATGACACTGCGCCTGACCTTCTAAGGTCAGAGCTATTATGATGCTGGGTAGGGGTGGCAGGAAAAGGAAATAGAAAAAGTGACAGGGGGAGAGAACAAGGAAGTCCCTGGAAGAGACATTTAGTTTTTATAAGGAAGCCTGAGCGAGAGGGCAGATCATGAGGGAGTGATATGATAAGAGGAAAACACAACTATCCTCTCGTTTTCAGGAGGCTCTCTGGTTTTATTGTTCTGAAATAATTACAGACTATTTGGAGTTATGATAGGTGCAAAGCTAATCTAGAGGTACCCAAGATTAAACTTTAAATGGCTGGAAATGAGCACACCATGGGCTCTTTAAAGCGAGAGAGATTCCAATAACAGATTGAACAACAAGAAAAATCAATGACCACATTTAGAGTGCACTGAAGAAGATTAACATTTGTAGATTTTTGGTAATTACTTAGTAAATTAACCGCCTTATCTTAGGTGGAAATTAATTTAACAATGATGTGACTTGCAGTTTAATCAAGTGACTCAACTACTGAAGTATACAGAGACTGATTTCTAAATTACCATAACAACTGAGCAATTGAAGTAATAATACTTGCCCATCCTTAGAGGCTTCAATTACTATGCTGTATTTATTTTGTTGTGATTGGAATATGCTGAGCTCTTTCAAGTCGAATTTGCTGAAAGTGAGTTTTAATGCAGTGGGCCTCTGTGACCTCACAATGAATATAAATTCCATTTAATCGAGAGGGGAGCCCTGGGAGTTGCCACAGGAGACAAATATATGCTCATCTCCAGAAGATGCTTATTCATCATGATAATTATTTCAACGCTTCAATTAATTTGACAACACTATTTGCATGTGCCACCATTTTGCACACCTGTTTGGCAGTGGGTCTGGGGAGAACAGAGGGAAAATAAGGGCTGCTGTGCTGAAATAAATATATCTTTCCCCTGCTGCACAGTGCTGCTTAACACCCAAGTGAATTTATAAGATAATGACAAGCATATGACGTTAAATCAGTAAAATACTTTGATATAATGCCTGTAATATGCCATTTCATATGTGAATGGAGCACCAAGGTTGAAATGAATTGCGTATATTTCAAAAATCATTTGTGAACTGCCATTCACAGCAAATTTACACCTGATACTTCTGGATGTGTATGCAAAAATACTGTACAATTTACATTCTTTTTTTTGGAATAATGACAGTGTATATTTTAAACCCTCTGTCTTTTTACCCTCCAACTCAAACACTGTTGAAGAGTATTATAAATTCACTGTGGAAATTTTTTTTTTTAAACTTCACTGTCATTAAGTGAAAATTTAATCCAGGTCAACACTGACCCGAACAGAGCACCAGGGTTAATGTAAAGAACCAAGAACTTGAGAAACAACAAAAGGCTTCAGTAAGACTAAAGCCAGGTTTCCTGGTAACTGTGGTTAATATTCATGTCATGGCCATCATTTACACTGACAGTCTGATAAAAGAATAATAAAGTGTCTCTCTCTTTTGTGTACCTTGTGTTTTAGTGGCAACACACACAAGTTATTTGCATAGGCAATGCACAGCAGGGCTGAGGTCATTTCACTGCATTTCCTACTTTATCAGTGTTCACACTGCAATGAAGCCAGGGAGGGTCAATTTGAGTTTCTGAGGGGAAGTCATGGCTGGGGTCAAGATAAATAATTCATTCATTTTTCATAGCATTACTTCTCATACAGTGGCTTGATACATTCATATAGATGGACTATAGATGGACTAAGACCGACCATCTTCTCAAAGGCACACAGTCACAGTTTTAAATTCACTGGTATTTTTAGTGACAGCAACATGCACATCATTTAAATTTCTCTGGTGAGCTTGTTTATTTCTTAAATTTTGGGTAGAGAAGTTTCTTTAGACAGTTTTCTGACAGAGTGTCAAAATAAAAACACTGATGCACATGAGCATCCTCATTATCTTTTGGCTGGAAAAGTGAGCCCATATCTGCGGTAGAAAACTCAACAAGTGATGGGAGTGATAAGCAGTTGACCGCTGTGTTCTTTTTGTACAAAAGTAAGGAAGAAATGCTTTTGCAGTCTGTGGGGTTATAATTCTTGTTAGATGAGCGGCTTCAGTAGTTTACTTTTAAACACTGGTTATATTGTTAAGCTTTAAACAATGACTTTTAAATTGTCTTAGCTAAATACTGTTGATATAGCTTTGACTGCAGTAAGTTACAGTGATATACGGACGTACGTCCTCTGAGTTGAGGGAATGTAAAGTGATGGATGAAAAAATCAAAGTCACAGGCAGAGATATTCTGACATTTAATCTCTAGTTTGGGTCAGACTCTGAAATGCTGGATCCTGCGTAGAACCATAATGGAGCTGGATAGCATCTTTAATTAGACCTTCCTTTTCTCCTAAACAGTAACTTCTCTCAAACTCCACACATCGAGGCTCCCTTAAAAAGTCTTAAACCTGAGCCGAGATAACCCTTAGGATGTCATCATGGTGATTTTTCAAACGTTATAAAGCCTAATCTGGGTTCACTGAAAACATTAAACAGTTTTCACAGGCTAAGTACTGCTCATAATGAGTAAACCTAACTTCATGTGTAAAGACAATGGACTGCCCCTTTGATCATTACCATCTAAGGGCAGCACTATTCCCAACAGTGATATAATTAAATGTTAATTAGCTGCAAAGTTAATTGCAAAGGTTGTGCACCCCTCCCATACACAAACCACACAAACACAGATAGCCACACTGGGACATGTGCACCCAATTAAACATCAACAACTGCTCATTATAATCAGTATACATTTTTCACCTCCATGGAATGTGGGGCAGCTGTAGCTCATTCCAAAATTTTAGCTGGGACTAAAAGAGGAAGTATGTTATGCCTTTTCTCAAATCACTGCATTTTCCAGTATGCACTACAATTTCTCTTGCTTATCTATGAAGAACCACAGTGCCTTGCTTTACAATGTGTGTTGTGTTTTAAAGACATGCCCCAGACCTCTCCAGTTATCTAGCACTAGTCTAAATTAAGGGTGAGTTATACAGCAAGTCTGGTCAAGCTGCTTTGATTTTTGTGCTCCTAGTTGCTGAAATTACTTTCCCAGTTAGGATTTGCTCCGTATGTGTTTAACAAGTATTAAATCTGGATTTATTTTAGCCAAGAGGGCTGATAGGCCGTAAACCTTTGTTGTGTTTCTGGGACAGGGAAGAAGAGTTTGACCTTACTGAAGGTGTGCAAACCTGCAAGTGAGGCTGTATGTCTTTATCTAACATGCTGGCAAAGATGTCAACTAAATGTGGGACAGCCTCACTTCCATTACGTCTCTGTAAAGTAAAATGACCCTTGCATCACAGAGTAAATGCAGGACTTACCAAGGCTGAACTCCACCTGAGGCAGCCTGGGTGTCAGAATAACACCTGAGAGACAGAGTAGGAAAGAAGGACATGAAAGAGATAAAAGTAGAGGGTATGGGAGAAAAAGGGAAGAAAGAGGAGCACATTAGAATAATTAAAGAGTCAATCAAAAAAAACTCATGAAAAAGTGACTAAACTAACATTCAAGAGGTGTAAAGCTTCAACAACCTTCCACCAATAATTAATCTGTCAATTATTTATGATTATTGCATTAGTTTATAAAATTTCAGAAAATAATCAAAAGCCCGCATCAGTTTCTGAGCCCAAGTTTCTGTTTTCCTTCATTAAATGATTACTTATCTTAACTGCTAATGATGACCATTTAATTATTCGACAAGCTGTTTCAGGATTAGCGGTATACTTCTAGTTTAAATGAAAAGGGACAGTCACATAGTCCATTGAAACAGAATATCAAATAAACTAAAGGGTAAAAATTTTATTCATTTTCAAAATGGAAATGGTGTGGAAACAAAACCCATTTCAATGAGAAACCAGACAGCACTTAGAGAGCACAAACCTCTGCCAAGGCAGATCACTGTCCCCTTTGGCAGTGGTTTCATGCTGTAGTTTGACCCTAATAATATGATTTGTTGACCGTAGCATTTGGAATCACATTTATATCATTATTAGTTTGAAAGTTATTCAAGAAAAAAGATATTTCAGTAATGGCAGGTTTCTTCAGGATACATCAAATCTGTTGACATCCTACTGAAACAGCAGAGTTTCAGCTAGAAGCATTATTTTTTTGTCTCACAGTAGCAAGTTTTTCGTGACCTCTACAAATGTGAACATTCTGGATCACCACATCTGGACTATTACTTGGATCATACTTTGGTGTGTGGTAGAGCTTATGTCGATATTATTGTGCAATTTTTGTCCCAGCATTGTGGGCATAATGCATGGAGTTCTTAGAAGCAAAAACATTGAAATTGGCCCTATCCCACAACTGTGAAGAATCCTTTAAAAATATTCACGGATCAGGATGATGATGGATTGTTCCCAAGGCCATACTCTACCTCTCCAAAAAAATCATGCAAATACATTCACAACTTTATGAGTGATGTTGTGAACAAATCAACCAACAAACAAGCACGAGCAAAGGCAGAGGTACTAAAGCCTGTCATGCTCCTAGCATGTTAAAATACTATCTCTAAAGAATTTTAACGGTCTTCCAAATATGCCACAGTGATTAGTGTAAATGTTCATTTAGATTATGCAAACACAATGCAATCTTTGTGACTGTTAGAACAAGAGTTTGTGGGTATTCACTGTCCTTGAGGGCTTATGGCATAATGATGGGTAGAGGACTGACTGCTCATATCATTTGTCACCAATGCTGTCTCTCGTTCATCACTTTCCCAGTCCAACACACAACCATTCAAACACCAAACAGATGAAACACCTGCATGATGGGGCAACACATTGAAAGGGACCAAAAACCACTAAATGGGGTTTTTTCCTCTTCCTAGGGTGCATGGACACAATTGGCCTCTTTAAGGCTCATCAACCTCACTAATGAGCCATGGATACTCGATGCTTACTGATGTATGAGCACCAGATGACTTTAGGTAATAGTCATTTTTTATAATGAGGATCCTTCACAAAGACAAAAGATGATTTCCTCGTGTTTTATAATTACAGTACCTCAGACACCACAATTTCTTAGCATCATTTATGTCAAATCAGGTCAGTTTAATTGCAAAGCCTTTCATCACAAATCATGTCTACAAAGACTTTACAGAGAACAAGTGAAACATACAACAAAATGATGCAGTTTTCAGGTAAGTGCAGGACAAAACTGCATGTTGGATAGACATCAATCAAGTGCACAAATAGCTGAAGGAGGTGGGCAAGTAAACAATCAGTCATTTATTTCTAGGATTAATTGGATGTATAAAAACATGCAGAAATCTATTGTCTACATTACAAAAACAAATGCATTCTTTTAAACAATGCTTATGAAATGTTTCTATGCAGTGTATTATGGTAATCAAAAATGATTAGCTCAAGACTCGAGCATTTATAAAGTGCACAGTGTTAACAAAAACTAAAATTTGTATGATTTAAAATAATTCAGGCTATACGTTCATAAAACATACCATGTTGAATGTAAAGGGCCAATACAAACATGATTACTACTGCTGATGGTTGTAAGTAATTCTGAGTATACATAAACAACCCTCACCACATTTAGGTTTACTCTTAACGTCATCAAAGTTCCTGTACACACCTGTAACACTGTAACTTTGTTTTGCTTATTGTGTTGAATATAATGCTTGACTGTTCATGTGTTTCATGTTTACATGAATGCAACACAAATGAAAATGCATTTAGCGCCCATTGCTAGCAGCCTACACAACCCGCCATTATGTTCCTAAATATATAATTAGCATCATAATATACATAACAATGTAACTTCTTCTTTTGATTGGAAGCTGGCAAACCAACTTGTGGGTGCATTACCACCACCTACCAAACTGGAGTGCACAACAGTAGCATTCACATGGTCGCCAACCCAGCCATGTCTGCTCTTGGCCATTTCACACAGCTAGGTGACTAGACCAAATAATCAATAATTAAATTCATTGCCGACTATTTTTATTATCAATTTTAGAAATTATTTGTTGTAGCCCTACACATATGGTTACACAAGCAGGCCAAAAGTGTATGTAATTAAACTTTGTATTGCTGTATGGTTTTCACAGTATTGTCTGGGATTCATGTCTCCTCATGCTGTCACAACAGGGAGTGCTGACGAAACATTAATGAGCCTGGATGGCCTGTTGTGTGATGGAAACAGAGAGCCTTTTAGGTAGGTGGGCTGAGACAGAGCCAGATGTTGGGTCCTGTATTTGGTGCCACATTATCGTAATGGACTGTCACTTGAACAGACCAGTTACTTTTGAGGACTTCATCTGTGCTTGACATCAACGTATCTAGAGTGGAAGGAAGCAAGGGAAATACCTGCTTTGCAGAAATAACTGAATAAAGATGAGAAGTAAAGCTAAGTCTAGGCCTGGTAAGGGTTGGAGATACAGATCATGAGGGATACACACATGACACGTATGCTTAAAAATGAAGGAGGAGAAAGTCTGGAGTTAAAAGATGTCTGCATTTTAGAGCAAAGCTTGTAGGTATAATGTCAAGTATTTATAAAAGTATCATATCAATTACGTTTGATTATAAGACAGGCAACACAGGTTATGCAGCATCTTTGAGAATGAATACTGACTACATGACATTTATCACTGTTCCCATATAGCTCTGGAAACTGCTGTGCATGTATTCACTGTGACTCAATATCCACAGTTATTAAGATCATGAACAAATTATGCATACACAACCTGAGGACAAAACACCTGTTATGTACACTGTGACACCAGTCTTCGAGCACTGAACACACTGCATGTCGTTAACCCCTTGGTAAGAATCTGGCTGACCAAAACAAGTCTAATTACAGTAATTACCCACTACAGGAGGAGAGGTCAACTACCTGTACTGTCCATCTCAATTACATCTCCTTAGCACTTGAAGCTCAGGTGATCCAGTTCCAATGTTTAGATACGTATGTGTGGAAAAGTGGCACAGGTGTGGTATTTATAATCGATATCCGCTGGCATTATGAATATGGTAATAAGCTCAGCAAGGTGGCAGGCAGCAGGCAAGCAGGCGACACATGCAGATGTAACTCCCAGAGGGACCCAAAGCAAATGAGGTGTGCCCGCCCGCTATACTGCAGTTTCATCTGGCTCTAGAAATAACAGCACAGCCCGACTGTACATCCAATCTATCACCGTCCTGTCCACGGGTGGTATCAGAGGGGCAAAGGCGTGCTGAAGAGAGAGGAGAGGGCAATTTATTGGCGCGTGAGCAAACTAGGTGATTTCTCTAGGATGACAAAGTTAATTAATGTACAGGGACTTAAATTGTCCATCTTGGACACGATCACTTAGCCTTCTTCTCACTGCCCTGCTTCCAGTGTTATAACCACTCACTGGCTTATAGCAGATACTGTGAAAGGAGGAACAGAAGCAAGAAATGTGTGGGTGTGCACACAGACTTTACATGGGATTGCTGCTTATTCCTGACTCCACAAAAAAATAATTGTGGCAAAGCTCCAAAATACAGCCTGTCGCTGCTCTGGTCCCCATCATATGCTACAAACTCTACTAAGAAAACCAAGCAATTTCCAAGAACACTTTTCATAATTCACCCTTTCACGGTGCATATAATACATATTCCTAATCACTCCTGCTGATCCTCTTCATGAATAGATATTAGCTCTAAGAGCCTGTGCCTAAGAACAAATCCTGTTTATATTTTGGTGATATTAATAATTCACTTATGTGGCACCATGAGATTCGATATTTCAGGAATGCAACTGGCTGACTCTCAATAAACCTTTACATCCCACCCACAAATGCCATCACCCCTCGTCCTTACTACACACAAACACACACACTAATTGCAGTCTTTTTTCTTCTAACTCCTTTTGTCCAGTCTCACTCCACTCACCTTCTCTCTTTCCTGTAGTTTAAATTGCCTAAGCAACACCTGCACATCCTTTATGATGATTCAGTCATCAGCAAGGCTAACACACCTCTAACTCAACTGATGTTTGCATAAACAGACATCCCATTAGGACAAGTGGTGCTGAATCGAAGAGTGAGTTATCATCACATTACTGTCTTGGGAGACTGAGAGGGGACAGATGGTCTTTTTGCCAGGCTTTAATAAACTATTGTGAAACTACTGGGTGTGCTGAGCAAGTCTTGATTGTCACGTCAAGGAGACACGCAGTGTGGATGGTTAACAAGCATGAAGTAAGACATTTTGCTTCACAATAGCTTTGTGATGTCAAGCATTGTGCAATGATAACTACATTAACTGAGTTTCAGCTTTCATTGAATGCTCACACGTCCATATGATAATTCCAGTATAAAAAGTTAATAGTTGAAATAACATAATTTTACCCCTTGTAGTGGGGAGTTTGTAAAATGCCAATTCAATCCCATCCTAATAAGTACAGAGCAGCAGCCGGTTTGGTCCCACTGTTCTCTCCTGTCACAAATGAAGAGAACCTATCACACCTTGCCACTGATAATGTGGGGTTGTCAACCTGTCTTTCATGCGAGACATGGTAATTATGTGCTTTGTCCTTTCCTTTTGTCTCCCGGGACACTTAGAGAAAACAGTGAGGTGAGGTGTTTGTCATGACTGTTATACTCCCACACCTGTCTTGTGTCATCTTCACACTGTGACTGTTTGGTTTTATAGTATCACATATCTAGGGTTCATAATCAGGTCATAACTGTTACCATCTCAGGATGTGCATATGTGGACTTATGAGTGGATGTTCTGGTGTGTAACTATTTCATTATTTCCTTATGTGTGCATGTTTGCATGGTTGTAATTGTGAATATAAGCATATGTATCAGTGTAGTTCGAGGCAAAGGAGGCAAGGCATCACGAATTGAGCTCTCAGTCCTCTTCGCATGGCTCCATTTATTTATCCCCATGGGGAAGATGTCGGTGTTGAGCTTGCATTCCAATGCGAATGCTTAGAGGAGCTGTATGCAGTGTGTGTCCTTTTGCTAAGCAAAGGTATTTGATTTAGAGAGCAGGTTTTGTGGCATCATCTTTTAAGTATTTTCCTGTTCTGATGGGCACTGAGACATCTAGTTTGCCTCTGCCAGTGCTCATTAGACACAACACATTCAGGCTATGTGGAATATGACTGCAGTAAAAAGACAAAGTGCACACACACACATACATGCACACAACAACACACACAGAGATAAACCTGCATGTGTGCAGAGGCACGCATCCACAGGCATGAAAATTTGCAGAAATAATAATTTAAACAAATTCAGTGTTACCCTGAACTAGGATATTTAGACTTTTCTGACATATTTTATCACATTGTAAGCCAATGAGTTTCTGATTTTAAATCAAGCACAGTGCAAGAACTTAACACATAATGAGAACTTGCACAAAGGCAGCCTGTAAGTTTTAAAATCAATTCTCTGGCATGGATTGTGAAGATAGTTGACTATTTATTAAGTTATCAGTTATATCAACTGGCTGGTAACACATGGTGTGCATCTTTAGCTTTTAAAATTTTAAAACAATTTTCATCTATCACCTGGAAACACTTTGTTAATGGACAATATACTTAATCTTATTTTAGTAATAATTGCAACAATATCACCCTGAGACATGAGTTATCCAGATGAGATAATAAATCTACACTGAATTCAGTCATTTGATTATTGATCACTGCGCATTTAAAAAAGTTTCCCTCTCACATTCTACCTTCACCCTTCTCTCTCTGTCTCTCCAACACACACACTCAAACACACTGATGCTCTATCTGTGTGTTAGAGAGAGAGAGAACCACTGCAAACAATATATGCAAAAACTAGGCATCGCCAGAACATGCATTTATAGAAACAGGAGTATACCGTGCAGCAAACAAAATCAATTCTAATAGCACACAAGGTGTTTCAGAGTTAAACTGTATGAGGAAGGACAGAGAAGAGAGGTGGAGGAGACAGATAAAAGACAGGGAGTCAGACAGCACAGTGCAGTCAGCTCACCGGCAGCGGTCAGTCCTTCAGGGTTGGCACTCAGCTCCTTCATGTCAACCATGCAGTGTCCCAGGTGTTGGATGCCATCCTCCATCTGTCCAGCTTGCCCCTCAGTTATCGCCCCTGCTCCTCCACCTCCTCTCCCACCTCCTCCACGAAACACCACAGTCCAGTCCAGTTCCCCGGCTCACACGCAGCTTGCCAAGTGGAAAAGCTGTCTCAAAGATAGCAATCCACTCACCTCGCTTTCCTGTTGCCTCACAGCGCGCTCTCTGGCAGCATTAGAGATGCCTTTTGGAAAGTAATACAGAAGAGAGGGACCGACAAGGGACCTAGAGCAGCGGTGGGAGGGAGGGAGGGGAGAGCAGAAGAGAGAAGGGAAGGGAGGAGTGATGAGGGAGTGAGACTCAGAATGAAAGAGAAAGCAGGACAGAACTGATGTTATGTGCGATACACAGCTCTATCCATCAATCTTGGGCTGTCAGTGGGGCACCTACACCAGAATGCACAGCGCAACACAGCCAGAAAGACAACTCTGCCCACACTCTCCCTCTTCTCTTCTCATTGCGCAGTCACTGCTGCATCCAGACATGGCAGTAGGGGTCCCTCTGATTTCTGACATCCATCTCCCTCCCCTTCCCTCACCATTCTGCCACCCCTTTTCCTTTTACTAGCAGCAAAACAATTAACAAGCATCTGACTGCTGAGCTCCATATGGTGAAGCCAGCACCGTGCAGTGTACGATTTTGAAAGTTACATATTGCAAACAAAGAGTGGAGGACAAGGCGGGAGAAGGTGAGAGAGAATACACAGTACAGTGACAGTTCTCAGTGCAGCATAATGGCAACTTCATTATAGAGTTAAACCAGCAGGTAAAACAGATGTGGCAGAAATAACAGATGTTTCATGTGTTATTTAGACAAATGGTGCCTGCATCATGATGTACACCTGAACTGGTTATCTACAAATCCTTAAAAATGAGGCAACAAAAAACCTTGTTTAAATCAGTAATTATGTGTAATAAAGGAATACATGGACAAAATAATGCAGCTCTATTCCTCTGTCTCTTTACTTGCCCTCACCGCCTCTCCACCCACTCATACTGTGAAGGTTACTGTTAGTTATTTGGACACCAGTGCTATGATGTTACAGTAAGACCACATCT